GTCTCTCTCCTGACAGGTACATTTATCAATAGCTTAATAGTCAATCCGATGTTGGCAGAGTGAATGCTTTCATTCTTTCCCCCACATTCGGTTTGGCTTGATCAAAATAATGCCTTTGGTTGGTGGTCCTACGGGCTGCTGGAGAGAAGGCATGGAATACTCTGCTTACTTAGGGTAGGGGGAGTACAGCTGCCACTGGGAAGCACAAATGAGCGTGAAGTTAATGGTGTTTTCTAACATTAATACACTGCAATCTAGGACTGTACACAAAAACACACACCCACACCTATGTTTGATTTCACAGCTGCAAGTTCTAAGATTCATGGCTGCTCTTCGGGTGCATTTTGGAGGGATGACAAATTTACTGCTTTGTAGTGATAGAGCAAATAATGAGTGTGTTTGGTGTGTGTGTGTGTATTGGAGAGGAAGCACACACAAAATGTACCGCTTTGTAGTGATAGAGCAAATAATGAGTGTGTTTGGTGTGTGTGTGTGTATTGGAGAGGAAGCACACACAAAATGTACCGCTTTGTAGTGATAGAGCAAATAATGTGTGTGTGTGTGGGTTTACATGTGTTAGAGAGAAATCACACATGAACACACACACACACACACACACATATACACACACTTGCATTGATTCATCTTTCAGGAAATTCAGTCTTCCAGGCAAGCTTGAAAAATATTCTTGGAAAGATCTACCCATCTACCTACCCACCTACCCCATTCTCTGTCTCTCTCCTTTACTCTCTCTCTCTCTCTCTTCCTCCTCCATATGGAAAGGTCCGTTGCGCCATAAAAAAATGAAAGAAGCAAAGTTGTTTTGCTAGCTTCATTAGTGTTCACCTAATTAGCTGTAAACCTGATGGATTCCTGACAGCTTTAATGATTGGAGATGACAAGCTCCACGCAGTGTCATCCAGCGGAATTAGGTTTGGAACTAGTTTGATGTAATCAAGTTGATATTACACAGTCCTGGTTGCCTTTAGTTGAGCATTAACTCAATTTTCTG